GAATTGGCGAGTCTCGCTGCAAGACTGCTGCAATAAGCGGATACTAATAGAAAGCTCGTAGTTTGCCATAAATGTAATTCAAACCTAGCGTTGGCGGTGTTTCTGGGCACCCACGTGCCCAATAAACGTCCCATCAATTCCGTGATTGTGCAAAAAGCACTCCGAAAACCTAAGAAAATATATTTGATCTATTTCGTTTTTATCATATTATGTATATATTTAACGGGATATATTCGTATTATATAAGTAATAATGTGCAGTGATAAAAAATTAATTATCTCGTTTTATAAAACCAAAAAATAAGATAAATAAGAATATTTTGAACGAAGTATTTTTTTCATTACACACATGCAGATGATAAAATTTCTAGCTATATTGATTGGTCATCATCTTAAATCTATGCATAAAGCATCTATGCATAAAGCACTTGAAAAATGACAATTGCCGATTGTTTGATAAAGATGTTAGATTATTTATTAGAAAGTTGAAGAAGACGATTATAAAATATAAAATTTTAATTATGTATTGCCTTGTTTCTAATCGTCAGTGTATAACAGATGTTCTCAACTTACGTTTCGGAAATTTTGGATCGATCCTGGCGCGTGTGAACATATACATGCTCTTAACAAACAACATAGTTATCACAAGTATCCAACATTCTACTGAGAAAGGTCTCGTGAGAGCCCAGAAATTGGTGATCGGTCGCGGACGCGGTACCAAAAAATGCATAAACATTTGAATCGATGGTGAGGACATATTTACGAATTCGTTGTGATTTTGCGTTAACCAGACACTCCCGAATGCTAGATCAATCTTCATATGGGAGATGAAAATGATTTTAAATTATTTTATTGCATTAATTAATTTAATTAATTAATTAATTAATTATTAATTAAACATTATTAATATGTTAATTAAACTTAAAAGGATCTAAAATTTAAAATGGAAATATCTAGAATATAAAAATAAAAAATAACACATTAATTATAAACTTCAAAAATGTATTGTAATAGCTATTATAATTAATATCTCAGATGATTCGACAATGTTATTCTAAAGTTATTATTAACCTTACAAACGAGATTTATTAGAATTAAAATTTCTTCAAATCAAACAATATATAATTATACCTTTTTCTCCCGTACAAGTTGAATGATGCCGCCATTCCATTCTGTACCATTTACGCGTCGACCGTATCTAAAAATTAATTTATTTTTGACATTTTTTATATATTAACATAACATAAAAAGATTATGATAAGTTGAGTTACTTGTAATTTCCTTCCGGTTTTCGTATTACCCAAGTGAAATTTAATTTCTCCGCTATAATTAGAAACATTTTCACTTCTATTCCATCCTTTTCTTCATCTGCAAAATGAATACGTTATTGCGATCGCTTTTACAATTGTTCAGTTTTCCTTTATTACATCTATTTTTTCAAATTAACTGGCAATTAATTAATTTTTCAAAGATATTAGTAATTAATAAATTTGAAATTAATTATAAGTTTAAGCAATTTCACTTCACCGTTATCTGCTAAAAAGACGTCTTCTTCAACACCATTAATTATTTTCTTGATTGTTTTGTTGAGATAAGAAAAAGGTGGCTGATAAAAAGTACATATTCGCAGTTCTCTACCCTTCATATTAACTATATCGAATTCGGACATCAGTTCTTCGTAACTGTGATGTATGTCATTTACAAGTGTTTAATTCATAATTTCTCTTTCATGTATATATATTATGTATATTTCATTTATATAAAGAAACAAAAGACATCAGACTAATTTTTGTATACATAATTTATCACAAAAAATTATAATGCAAATATATGATAACAAATTAGGCAAATAACTTACCTGTCTACTTTTAAAAAAATCTAGGTTCCAGATAATTTTCTGATAAAGTCCAAATTCCAGATCTTGATATAACATTTGCATTGGAATTTCCATATAAAGATACATTAAACAGTTTTGAAGTATTTTTCAATTCACCATCAACGATAACAAGAATTTCGGTTGTTGAGATAGTGGAAGGTACCCTGCCAAAAAAATATATGCACTTGCATAAATGAATTTAATTACAATGTTAGAATAATTACAATGTTAGAATTTCATTTTTTTTTATTAAAAATTTTATTTATTTTGTGTTTATTTTTTATTCATGCTTTACAATTTTATATTTATTAAATTTCTTTATTATGATTGTAATTTTATTATTATTATAATTGTATGTATATTTTATTATTATACTTTTATTATATATTATACTTAAAAGTTTATTAAGATTTAGATTTCGTATATTAATTTCCTTTACACTCGCATAGCTATTTCTATTTCTTTATCCGTCGGCCCAAGTAAAAAATATCCTTGACAATCGTGGATTCTTTTGCGCAGAAGATATTCATACGGATATACATCTATAAATTGATGGAATAATATCTCAACATCGTTAATTGATTCTGAAAAAAAATTTATTACGCATTATTTTTTTTTTCTAAAGTACATATTCAAGTGTACATATACACACGTACTAACCACTTAAAAAAATATTGCAACATGTGGAGTAAACAAAGGACTTCTTTACTATTGTCGTAAAATTTTCGGTTGAGATCCAGGACTTTATTTTCGAATTCTTCATAATATTATTTTTGTCAGTTAATGCCGGAATAACAATAAGTAATAAAATACCGATCGGATTCACTTTCATGTTGAAACATCAGAATATGACCAGTTTAACAATATAATCTTTATGCAAATAAATTTTAATCATAATCATAAGAAATAAAGCAATAAAAATTATACTTTAGAAGTGAAAAAAAAACGATTGTCATGAATTATTATAAGCTAGTAAATATTGCACACATGCAAATATTTAAATTTATTATTCACATTCGCATTAATTATTTATATATTCCAGATTTCTGAAATGCACTATTGATTAAATAAGATTTTTATGACACTCGTTATATTATAGTTATATAACATTTTTAACACGTTGAGACATAACTAATTTTATTAATGGTATAACACAAAATTTATATTAATTTAAGTTTATTTAAATTAAGTTAATTAATATCTATCAAAACAAGGCAATTATCAAATATCTCATTAATGAGTCGTTCAAAATTTGTTTTTTTTTCTTTTATTATTTTTTTTTAATATTGCACTCAATTCAATTGTAACGCGAGTATGTTCGGCATGAAAATGAGAGTCGACTTGGTGAGTTACTCCAGAATGGAATTGCACGTGTATATAATATGGTGGAAGCGTGTCGGTACGAGCACGCTTGTATGTGCAATCCATGTATCTTTGTGTACAAGAAGAGTACACTCGAGGTGCAATTTGACAGCAGATAACTACCTCGATAGCGAACCCTGAATAAACACATAGCTACGACATGTAGTTGACATAATTATGTGGCGTATAAAAAACGTAGGCACAATTATCTCCCACGCCTACGTCGCCAGTGACATTAATTGGTGATTCATAAAAAATTAATTGATAACGTCCTTCGTGACGGCAGTAACGTAACTACGCATGGCGAATTCATTATTACGTTATCCTAACAAGACAAAAGTTGTTTATATGTTTATTGAATAAGTTAGAAAGTTTTGTCCTTGGTATTACCGATTCACACGGAGATATTTTACATTCAGCATTTATGCGTGATGACTGACAACGATGAATAATGATATTTAGTGAAATATACGTCAATAACTCTCTTGTCGTGATACTTTAAATCATAAAGATTTATAATAATACATTCATGTAATGTTATTACGACTTAAACGTTATTATTCTAACAATATTCTTATACTCTTTATTAATAACAAAATGTTAATTTCTGAAAGCAATTGGTAATAATTAATTTTAGAAATTAAATGTGTAATTAAATGTATAACCTAAATTAATTAGTATAATTAAATTAAATTAATTAATTAATAATTTACAAGAATATGTAGATATAAACAATTAATTCTAATGATAATCAATCAAAAGTAATTAATGCAAATACTAATGGTTGATATTTCAAATAGATTTTTGTTTAATTGTAAACACTTGCGATTTGTATGTATTCGTAGCAAAAATTTTCTAAACCGACCTACATATTCTCGTGGTATTCCGTAGAAGAGAAATATTTCATTTTTCTAGGTCACAAAGAGAAAGTACTTATAGTACAAGTTGAAGCAATTTTCTAGTCATGAAACAACGTTTAATATTGGAAGATGGAATATGCAAGATTATATTTAATAAATATTTCTAAGAGATAAAAAAACGACTCAATGGACATATGACGTGACAATAATAACGATTGTCTTGACGTGTACATACTCAACATAAATAACAACGATAAATAACAACGACTGAAAGTAGAAATATTAATAACTCGCGTGCACTCTCTAATCGCTCTTTGATCAAATCGTCACCACTGACTAATGGCGGTGAATTAACAATTTACAAAAAGACATGAGCCTGTCAGAATCATTAGAAAGTTCCAATTCTAAATAAATAGCAATTTTTTGAAAAAAATATATTTTTTAAATATCTTTTAATAATAATTATAATTTTTATTTTAACTAGTAAATAATATAAAAAATATATTAAAATTATTATTTCTTAAAGAAAGAGAACGGAGAAGCTTATATTCTTAATGTAACTGCGAGAATTATCGATGAGCGAACTACTTTAGTTTTATTCGAATCGCCCGCCGTTAAAACAGTACTTCATTATCAATTCTTATCAAGTTATATAATGTATTTTCATGCTACATCATTGATTGAGACGTCGCTACTGTCGTGTTTTTTCGCCATCGTGTCTGTGATTTTCTACAACCTAACATGAGTTTCTCTTATCTTTCTTAAAAACTATCTTTTTTAACATTTTCTTCACGTGTAAATTACGCACGTATGATAATAAACAACTGATTACAAGTTTCATTACTTTTTTTACTAAGGCAAATACGTTTAAAACAGTTAACACAAAACTTGTTATCATCGTTAGCTATTTCGTTATTCTATGGAATATTTATAGTTTACTTTTATGAATCATCACTTTTGACAAGTATTCGAAATGAGCATTTCTGTGATATTTACGAAATTTTCTAGTTTCACAGTAACAGTAGGTAATGCTTATTTATTTTACATATAAAATTCTTAACATATTTATTGGAAATTTTGCAGAAAACAATTTAATAAAAATTATTTTAATAAGATCATTAATATGCGTAAAGCATTTATCATGTTCGAAGCGATTTAAAGATAAAATTTTTGGTATCTTGTCTTATGTAAATATAATATTAATACTTGAAAGAAACAACTTGGAAATGGAATAAATAAAACCTGAGACATTTATTGAAGCTTGTAGTTTTTTTGCATATATAATAAATATTCGAAAAGGTTCTCTTTTTTTAAATCAAATATATGTTTGCTTTATATTCTCGGATATAAATATTTAATAGATTTTTTTCGTTGTTTAATTAATAAAAATTTTGGTTAAGAAAAAGTTAACAGAAATATTATTATTGGTATTCTTTGTCTCTTTTGTTCTGACAATCGAGGACAAATGTTTCACAGCTGCACAATCTTAAGCCATCCCCACTAACAATCTTTTTTAGGATATTGCCCTATGGGTGTAACGAATTTCTTGAAAGCCGAAGGAGCTAGAAGGTCTAAAGGAAGGTTTAGAGTCGAAATACCAACGTACTCTATCTGAGGATTAAAAAATTAGAAGTTTCAGATAGTGGACAATAAATGTTAATTTTCATTTTGTACAATTAACCAACGTTAAAGGCTTAAACTTTACTAAATCGCAAAAGTTTAATACAATTCGTATTGTACATATGTAAAAAAGTCTATTTTTTAGAAAATAATAGTATGATTCATATGTCTGTTAACTTAGGAAAAAGATGTTATTCAAAAATCGGTTTTGTTGGATTGGGCAACATGGGTGGTCATATGGCGAGAAATTTGCTAAAGAAGGTAATAAAAAATTATATTACAGTTATTCTTCTTTTATCAATCAATTTATTAAAATTATTAATTCTCTTATTGTTAGGGTTACCAGCTCATCGTTTGCGACGTGAATAAATCGGCGGTGACAAATTTGGTGGAGGCGGGTGCTGGTTGTGCATCAAATGTGGCTGAAATGTCGAAAGAAGCCGAAGTCGTCATCTCGATGTTACCTTCGAATCAACATGTCCTTGATGTTTACACCGGCGAAAACGGAATACTTAGGTAAAAATTAATTTTCATTACGGTCAACATTTTCTTCTAACACTATCAAATTCAAGTAAACGTTATAAATTAATTAATTAATTAATTTCTTTGTTTTTCTCAGTGCAGCGAGAGAGAACGTCTTATTGATCGATAGTAGTACCGTGGATCCATCAGTGTCTCAATCGGTTGCCTCGCAAGCTCGGGAACATAATTTGAGGTTTATCGATAGTCCCGTTTCGGGAGGTACGCTTTTAATATTCATTAAAATGCATATGAGAAGGATATTAAAAAAGGATATTAAAAAGGAAAATTATATCTAATGATATAAATTATTAATTAATGCGAGCGATAAACGATTATTTATATAATCGTCATCGTGTTAATATAATCATCGTATTAATCTAACAGGTGTAAATGCAGCTAAGGACGCCACTTTGACTTTCATGGTGGGTGGCACGAAAACGGATTTTAGCGATGCGAAATCCATTCTCGAAAATCTAGGATCTAGAATAGTATATTGCGGTGACGTAGGCATGGGACAGGCAGCTAAGCTATGCAACAATATGTTATTAGCCATTAGTATGATCGGCACCGCTGAGGCGTTCAATCTTGGGCAAAAGTGAGAGACAAAGTACTTGCGCATGATCGTGCTATTATCCTTAATGAATTAATATTTAAATGCAATTTAAATATTTTAGACTGGGCTTAGATGCCAAAATATTGGCGGATATTGTAAATTCTAGTTCAGGTAAATGCTGGTCTTCCGAGCTTTACAATCCGGTTCCAGGAATATTATCGAATGTTCCCAGTTCGAAGAATTATGAGGTAACCGAATGAAAAACTTTTTGTGATTCGATTCTTTCATTTCACATAAATTCGCAGAAACTGAATCCTAATTGCAGAAATTGAGATAGTCGAAGATAAATGATGTGGAATTATAATACTGCCAAATTTTCGATCACAAAACTAGTAATTTGTATTGTATTTAGAGTTTATGATTTATTTGAAATTTTATGTTATATATTTTTATGTTATATATTTTAATCATATTTATAAATATTAATGTCACGTAATTGATTTTTATATTTGCGATATTTGCGTTTAAGAGCTATATATGATTATAAAGCAAGTAACAAGTTCATTTATAGGGCGGTTTCGGTACAACGTTAATGGCCAAAGATTTGGGATTGGCGCAATCCGCTGCAACCAGGACGCAAGCTCCGATTCCTCTCGGTTCCTTAGCGCATCAAATTTATAAAACAGTTATTGCTCACGGATTTTCAAATAAGGATTTCAGTGTAGTTTATCAATTTCTTAAAGGTGAAAATTGAAAATATTTGACAATTTATATTCATATTTATTAAAATAATATACTTTGTCTCTTCTTCATCAATAAAGGAATTTTATATCTGGTATTGTTTATAAAAGTTGATGTTTTTTTATTTTTATCAACATATTAATCGTACAATTATAACCGGATTATTCGTATTCGTTTTATAATCTGTAGAGGGCATCAGTTGATAGACAGGAGCTAAATAATTTCTATTTTGCAGGAATAAATTTGTAATTTGATATAATTTGGGTTTAACAAACTTATATATTTGATTTCAATAAATTACGAACATTCATATATATTTGCACACTTTGCATATATTTATGTATATATGTTTCTATAAAATTTTATAAACGCTTGAGAAAAAATGGAAACGAGATACAATTAAAATAGGACGGTAAAAACTAGAAATCATTTTTTATTTATTCTCTAAAATCTTTATATTTATAATTTTTTATTTATTTATTAAAATAATAAATTATTTCTATATATTATCAATAATTTTACATAATTACTTTTGATAAAATATATATATTTTTAAAGAGCTTCTTTGAAATTATTTTTTTGTGAGAAGTTATAGAATTAATAGAAAAAGATTCTCGTAGAAAGTAGATTTTTTAAAATCTTTTTACATTATTTGTAGTTCTTGTAATTAAGCTATGTATGGTATGTTAGTATGCTATGTTATCAACGTTCTCACAAATCTAACAAGTTTATTTTACAATTTTAAATTGCACGCTAATAAGTGATAGTCATAATAATCTCAATTAAATAATATTTTACATAAAATTTCATTACATATTATATTTGATTAGATTGAGAGTAAATAAATCTGTGAAATAGGACTATTTTATCATTAATAATGTTGACTAACGTAGTACTTCATTCTACTTAATTCTTACATCTGTCATACTTATTTCTTCTGTAAAATGTTCTCAGAAAATAACTAACTAACACTAAAATATATCAAAATCAAATTTAATTGTGAAACTTATTATTGATAATCAATAAATATTGATATCTTTATTATATTAAAATTAATTATCAGTAATTTAGTGAAAATTTAGTTTTCAAATTTATAGTAATTAAATTGGTATATAAATGATCGTTTTGTTTGATTTGTACAATCCAATTTTACAAAAATTGTAAAGGAAAATCTTAAGATTTTCTAAAAAGATTTTTTTGTGTTTTTTTTGGCTCATGATATAATCTTTTCAAAGTCACGTTTTTAATGTAAATATCGCCGAAATTGGTACTCAACCTGCTAATTTCCATTTTTTTTAAATTAATATTATATATAAAACATATTAGAAATAGAAGGGAATTTTTTTATGATCTAAAAATTATATTAATCTAAACTCATTTGTCAAAATTATGTAGGTGCCAGTGGTGATTCAGTCGATCCTGAGCCGTATTGATGTTCCGCCAATCGCGCGCGTTCGAGTTGTACCACGTGACGTACGCGTTCGCAGTGCGCGGCGAGTGTAGTCGCGTTGACTAGCGCAGTTTCATCCAGTTTCATCCTACCGTCGCTGTTGGTCGGCGGCTCTTTTTTGTGATCAGACGAGAACGAGAGGGCAGTGCGGTTCGGTGCGGCTAACGCCCGTGTTCGAAGGTTTCGTGCTGTCGTTTCTTCGCGTACGAGCCAGACAAGGATACGCCGACGAAGGTAGAAACGTGAAACGGGACGCGTTACGAGTTCCGACACATTTCGAGTCGTTACATAAAAAAATAAGTCGGGTAATCGCTGGTATTTTTCCCGCCGAATTTTCGCAAACTGGCGCCAGTAGCGGTCCCGAGGTAGTGTCGAAACAACCACAGCGATCGGTCGGATGTGTCACTAAGTGTATGTGTGTACGTGGTATGTGTGTGGTGCGTGAGGCGCGCGTATATGCATGTGTATACATCACGCACGTGTAATACGGACTCGTCGCTTCGCTGTGTATACATACGCGCGTGCGTGCGTGCGCGTGCATGCGAGTGCGCTTCGTGCGTGCGTTACATACGTGCCGCTTTCGCAGTCGGTGTCTCGAAAACCGGAGGAGTGCACGGAGATCACGCGCGTGTACCCGCTGCGAATTAGCAGCCCCCGAGTGTGCGCGTGAGTGGTAGTGAGCCTAGGGGAGAGAAGAGGAGAGGAGAGGAGAGGAGAGGAGAGGAGAGGAGAGGAGAGCGTGGCCGAGAAGAAAGAGGACATAAAGATGAGCAAGACGTGTGCCCGCTGTGAGAAGACGGTCTACCCGATCGAGGAGCTCAAGTGTCTCGACAAGGTAACGTAAACGGTTCGATTCCTATCCTAGAGTCCCTCTCGAGAATCTCCGACATTTCCGAGGAAGCGTCTCGAGAGGAATTCGAATCCCGATTCTCCGAGAGGAGCGCCGCTTTCCTCGGGAAGAAATGGGAGAGATGTACCGTTCTCGTTCGGGCCCCATTGAGTAGGGCTCGTCTCAGCGGCGGCCTTCGTCCATGCCGATCGACGCTCTCTCTTCATCGTGTATGCGTGCATGCGTGCGCGCGTGATGCACGCGCGTGTGCATGGTGCACGCGTGTTTAACGCCGTAAGAACTCCGCTCTCACTAAAGGGAGTTTACTTGTTGCATCCGCATCGTGGCGCGAAGCCGAAAGGTTTCGGTTTGATTCTGTTTGATTTGAAGAATCAAATGATATCTACATTTATATGTGTGTATACACGCATACTTATAAATGAATGTGATAGTTCGAGAATAATTATATAAAAATTGGAAACCGAAAGATTCACTTGTTGCGTGCCATGCCGCTGACATGTCGTGAACGAGGTATGCAGAAAGCTAGAGATAGTTTTTTATTTCATAAGAATGTGAATGTTCTGGAGATTACACAGAGAGTTAACAGACTTTTGATTAGATTTGACGAATATGAGCTACTTTAGAAACTGTTAGGTCATTGCCATCGATATCTATTTATGTTTATTTTCATTTTGAATCGAATTAGTTAAAATTTAAGTAAAATATGAAATAATGAGAATATGAACCAATTTTGGTAGCAAACGTAAATATAAAGTAATCGATTTTTAAATGCGATAAATAAATAGATTGGGACAAAAAAAAAAGAGCGATATATTTTTCATGAATTTGTGTTACATCTGCGGTTGTTTTTACGAAAAGATCAGAATCTCTACAGAATTCCGATAATTCTGATGTTTTTCTGATGTTTACTTGACTTATTAATTCGACCTATAGAATATCTCGAATATAATAATGATAAAATTATTCCAAAGAATTTTCGTGGCGTTTTAAATTTCTTAAAAACTCACTCACATTTAACACTTGAAAGGAGATTAAGTCAGACAATTAAATCTCAAATCTGGATTATCGTTAAATTGCAATAACGTGGCAGGGAATTGTTTGCGGGGGTTCTCTTCCCCCGAATCGATAGAATGTGATCTCGCTTATGGTATGGCATTAAAACGGGTACGCAGTATTTTTCGAGATACGTAGAAACGGAGTGGGAGTGCATAGCAGGATGTACCGTTTGCAATGGTTCGACTGAACGTTATAACTGGTATCTACGGCTATAGACAGCGGACAGCCTAACATAGTCGTACGGTTTTACCTCTTAGTATATTCCACATACGGAAAAATAAATTATAAATCGATGAGAAACAAGAATATTTTTTTAAAGAATCACATTGAGAAGAAATGTAAAATAAAATAAAGAAAAGGCCGTGTTGCAATTATATTTTGTATTTCACTTTATTTACGTGTGTTCTTTTTAATGAAACATTTTTTTTTAATGTGTTTTAAAAATAATTACCGAATGAGAAACTTAAGTAACATTTTGCGAAATTATCGCTTGAGAACATTTTACATATATTATTTATATACGTGTAATTATGTGTAATTACACGTATGCTAATGATATTTCGATATATGTCTACTTGCTACGTACTTGTGAAATACGTTGACTTTTCGAGCAACTTTTGAACAGGAAGATGATGGAATATTTGTTTAGTTTTATTTATTGTAAACTTTTCCGGCTTCAAGGTAAATCGTGTTGAAATTTATCTCTCTTTAATCATCGTTCAAACGGAATATAGTAAATACCGTCTTACTTCGTTCGCCGTATGTACTAACTTCCGCTTTCGTTGAGGATAAGCCTTGAAATGCCGGATTTATGACTCGCGTTTTGCTCAAAACTGTGAACGGAGCGAGTTGTGTGCGAATCCTTGCGAACAAGTGCCAAGTGTTTTTATCGCGAAAGACCGTAGCGTGCAATTCCCATTTACTTCCATTCGCTGTGCTAATTTATCCGGCTTTATTCGCGTGAAAGCCCGGACTCTGGAATTAGTCGGATCATTATAAAAAATTTATTTCAGTCCTGCGATACTTCGATATTTTATCGTTTAAAAGTAGCTTGTAAATATAGGCTTTCGTACGCGGGCGATATTTTATTTTTCAAGACTATTGTATGCTCTCAAACTCGTTATAATTTTACAGCATTTTTTTATATTTTTTATTATTTAATAATCTGAGGGAGATTTTTAATTATTTACCGTGAAACACAATTACATTAATAGTTCCATCTTTTTTCTAGTCGAAAAGTCATTCGACTATTGTTATATTTGTATTATTACAACTTTAAATGCATTACATACAATACAATGAAATGTTAGTTAATTAAATTTTGAAAATGAAGATTCGGAATAAAGGTTTAAATTTTCAATGGAGATATATTTTATACTTACTTGTGTGTCTATTACACATTACGTCTTTATTCCAAATTTTCACTTCCAAAATTTAATATTTATTCCTGTTTCTAACACTTCCTCCATTGTGCGTAGGATCTTCGATAAAAAAATTAATTCTACGACGGAAAAAAATTATTTTAACTTGTAATTATTATTTACAATTAGCATATCGTCTTTGTCTGATTTCTTCTTCCACAACCGTCGAGATGTCGAGAAGGTTGGCACATTATAG